CCCGTACCTGGCGCGGCGTTTCCGCACCCGGCGCTCGTGCTCCGCCTCCTCGTAGTAGAACTCGTTGTGGCTGTTGTCGCGTCGCCGCGCGGCTGCTGCGATCACCGCCCGCGGCTGCCCCGTGGAATTGTTGGTGGAGTTCTCTGCGGGGTCACGGGAATGGGGTCAGAACGGGATCCCAAAAAAAATTCCGGGGGGAAAGTGAGGGTGGGGTGGAAAAATGGGAAAACAGGAAAATGGGAAGAGAATGGGAGGAGAATGGGAGGAGAGGAGAATTCCCCCTGGAATCGTTTTTAGAATTCTCTGTGGGGTCACGGGGATGGGGTCGGAACGGGATCGGGGTGGGGAGATCCCCATCCCAAAAAAAATCCCAAAATTCCAGGGGGATGGAAAAATGGGAGAAGAATGGGAGGAGAACGAGAGGAGAATGGGAGGAGAGGAAAATTCCTCGTGGAATTGTTGGTGGAGTTCTCTGCAGGGTCACGGGAATGGGGTCAGAGCGGGATCGGGGTGGGGGAGATCCCCATCCCAAAAAAATTCCGGGGGGGGATGAAAAAATGGGAGAAGAATGGGAGGAGAATGGGAGGAGAATGGGAGAAGAATGGGAGAAGAATGGGAGAATGGGAGGAAAACAGGAGGAGAATGGAAGCAGAGCAAAATTCCTTGTGGAATTTTTGGTGGAGTTCTCTGTGGGGTCACGGGGATGGGGTTGGAGCGGGATCGGGGTGGGGAGTTCCCCATCCCAAAAAAAATTCTGGGGGATAAATGAGGGTGGGGTCGAAAAACGGGAAAATGGGAGGAGAACAGGAGGAGAACCGGAGGAGAATGGGAAGAGAATGGAAGGAGACTTAAAGGAGAGGACAAATTCCTCATTGACTTGTTCACGGAGTTCTCTGTGGGGTCACGGGAATGGGGTTGGAACGGGATCGGGGTGGGAGAGATCCCCATCCCAAAAAAATTCCAGAGGGGATGGAAAAACGGGAGAAGAACGGGAGGAGAACGGGAGGAGAATGGGAGGAGAGCAAGAGGAGAATGGGAGGACAATTCCCCCTGGAATCATTTTTGGAATTCTCTGTGGGGTCATGGGAATGGGGTCGGAACGGGATCGGGGTGGCAGAGATCCCACCCCAAAAAAATTCAGGGTGGGATGTGAGGGTGGGGTGGAAAAATGGGAAAATGGGAGGAGAACGGGACCAGAGGACAATTCCCCGAAGGAATTTTTTGTGGAATTCTCTGCGGGATCACGGGAACGGGGTCGGAGAATGATCGAGGTGAGAGAGATCCCACCAAAAAAAAATTCCAGAGAGGAACACGAGGACAGGGATAGAAAAAACCAGAAGGAAAACAGGAGAAATGGAGGAAAAAACGGGAGAAATGGAGGAAAAAACGGGAATCTCACCCTCGCCGAGGGA